AACTTATTTACTGTTCATCCCCCACCCATTTAAAATGGAGGTATGTAAACTCATTGAGAAAAGCTTGATCTGTGATGTCAAAAAACCAAGCTCTGCATACTAAATAAACAAAGCAGAAAGATGGGTTCATTGCAAGGTTTTCTACCTGTAAGCGGGGTAACTCAAGGCTATCAGAGTAATGACTTCTGGATTGCTCATAGATTAAAAGATTTTGTGCATTAAGTAAATTGTTTGGCTTTTTAAGCTGATTGGTTGCGGGGGGGGGGGTGGTCTTTCTTATTGGGATGAGTGTAGCTGAATCAGGAAAACAAGGAAGTCCAGAGACAAGTGAATGTCTGTGATTGGTTGGTGTTTGGGGACTGGCTGGTGTCCTCTGCCAATTTCTGAGAAGAGCTGTAAATTCCAGGAAGGTTAGGTTAAGTTCTGTTTTTGCTCCCACCTCCACTTTTTTACTGACACAAGTGACTCAATTTTAGTTTAGTTCTATACTGTTTACCAGTGTATTTTCAGCTGGTGGAGCACTTAATGAGTTCATTGCCTTTCATTCCCTAGTTTAAATTAAGTGGGTAACTGTCATAACAGAAGGTCTAACTATTTAAAACAAGTGCTTCACAAGATATGTTTACAAAATATATCTGGTTATTGTATTTGAATAATACTTTGGATTTAAAAAATGGTGTGAGAAATGTTCCCTCTGCTTGATATTTAAACATATTATCAAAATTTTTCTTTTCAAGCATGCTAGCAGTATTTATTTTAATTGCCTAGATCAATTGTAATCTAGAAAAAGAACTTTGATTTGATATTCCAATCTAGAGTCCTTGGAATGAAACTTTTAAAAACTTCCTTAGCAGACAATTTTTGCTTGTGACAACTGGGCAAGCTCTACAGTGCAGGAGGATGCCAAACAGAATCTGGTGGTGGTGACATTTGAGTTTAGTGTTTTCGCTCTGAGTGGAGTGAGACTATGAGTAGGGAAAGGAAGAGAAACTGGCACTGTGTGAATTCAGGTCATGTTTCGGAGAAAGAATATACCAGGAAGTGTAGGCAGAAGCCACATTATCAAAGGCCATAAACTTGGAAAGCTTGAATCTTATTTCACATAGGAAGCCAGCACAGATTTTGAAACTGAGTTTGTGACATTCTCAACTGTTAGTGTTGTTATAATAGGTGAGGTCGTGACTAATTAGGCAACACTAGCTATGTAAGTAGACCAAAATAAACCTTACACACTTAAGAAAAATCAAATATGTTTCAGGTAATAGTAAGTGATTATGAACTGTTGGAAACTGCCCTGTCTGGTTTCAGAAGCTGTAACCCCCCCATGGCTAAGGCTGAGTGAGAGACCTTGGGACCATAAGCCACTAAGGAGACAAAGCTTATCTTCCTGGTAGGGGCACCACCTCTGCCCCCTTTCTCTTCACCATGCTTGGCCCCGGATAGCCAAAAGATGACTGTTTAGCCAATGATGGGTAAGATTCCTCAAAAGGGGAACAACCTAAGGCAGGCATGGTCAGGAAGGGGCCCTCAGGGAAGGACTGGGAAGGCTGTAGAAAAAGGGGATGATGGACCCTTGCCCCTTGGCTTTGACATAGCATGAATCCTTATTCTGTCTGCAAGAAGTCTCTTTGCTGCCTAGCTTTCCTGGCCTGAAAAAATGCTGGAGGTGGGCATGAGCCTGTGCTGGAAAGGGCAGGTTTCCTAGGGGAGTTGGGCCTAAGAAAGAATGCATAAAATTTTATGAAACCTACTTTGCTAATACCCTCAATTTAAATGATAAGGGTCCAAGCATGAAGTGAGTTTGTTCCCCAAAGTTTTATGGCCCTTTAACTTCTGACCCTGACTTAGAATAAGCCCTCAGAGTTCTTTGAATGTTATCTATTATTTAATCATTTCTGCCTGACAATGATTGATGAGCTTTACATATACACCTTGTATTCCTGTGCAAATTGAACCAAATAAAAACTTGTCAAGGCGGGGGTCAAGTTGCTTCTCTTGAGAGGGAAGTCACGCCAACCCTTTTCCTCCATAGGACTAGGTAGTCTGTGTGAACTTGTCTCATCTCATCCATAATGCTGCAGACCCCAGGAGCCAGGAACAAGAGTTTCTAGTAGATATTAGAACTATATACTAGAATTAAATGAGATATTAAAAAAGATTTATTTCTCAGCAATTATTCTATAGGGCACCAATTGTGAGCCAGGCACATGGCGGAGGGGATCTTCAAGCTACTTTTAGTATGTCAAAAGACCTACTTTTGACATTCTAAATCATCTCAGGCTGATAATCTCAAGCTGATCAGAAACTCTGATGGGATGGTATAGGTGCCTGCTTTTCTAAAAGAGAAAATGAACTGAAATTTAATGTAGTTTGCTAGCTAAAAATAAAATGTGGAAAAGCCTATGAAGGCATGGGAAATATTCACAAGAGAAAAGCAATGCAATTCAGGTCCCACCTTTACATGGTCTCTTTTACAAAGAAACCAAATCTGCTTCTCCTCCCCTGTTTTCCAGCTCAGTGATGGACAGCCCTGCCACCTTTTATTCAGCTCCAAAACCCAGAAGCCTGGGCATAATTTTCAGTTCCTGCCATGTTTTATTTCTCCTATTTAACTACACATCAAACTATTGACCCTACTTCTGAAACTTTTCTAGAATTTTACCCTCTTTGTTATTCATACTGTTGTGGCCTTACTTGATGTTAGGGGAAACACTGTTCCTTCACTGCATTATAACTTCTTCCTTTGCTTTGCAGAGTAGGTACAATGAACAAACGGACTGTTGAGCAAGCTGAGGTCTATGTGACCTGTCCAAAAAGATAAATTATGTATAATGCAGTAAGGAAGAAAATATGTCATATTTGTCAAATTCCTGTGAGGTGTCCTGCATTCAGGAGTTATGCTTACTTAGGTACTTAGTTTCTATTAGAAAAGAGGAAGGAGTGTGTTCTTCAGTGTCCTGAATGAGCTAGAAAGTTGTGACTGGTTATCATCATTGAATCTGCGTCAAGTGATATGAGTGGGTGTGTTGGGATGTCACCACACGCTGCCCATTCCTGCCCCAGAAGTTAACGTGGTCAGATCACTCCCCTTCTGGGCAGTTGTTCCTGGTGGTATTCACGTAGATGCATGTAATAACCGAAGCTTAGCATTGTTTTGGATAGTCATGGGGTTCAGGATGTGCTTCCCCAAATATGGCGCCTTGGCATATTGAATATTTTAAGCTGAAGGAGTCTGAGAAAACAGCAGACACAGGAAGATCACTTTGATGCCCTCCTGACCTTTCTTCCCTGAAGCAGGTCATGAAACCCTGATGTTATGACCTGGAAGAGAGCATCCTTATTTCTAAAGACAATGGGACAGGGAGAGAATCCAAATGAACAGATTTTGCTAATTTTCTCCCAGGTTACTCCACTTACTCTGTACTTTTTGACCTGTCATATTTCTCCATGACTGTCCGTCCACTCTTCATCGACCTGGCATAAAAACTGTTCTGGATTTGCCTGGCTGGTGTAGCTCAGTGGATTGAGTGCGGGCCTGCGAACCAGACGATTGCGGTTCTATTCCCAGTCAGGGCACATTCGTGGGTTGCAGGCCAGTTCCCAGCAGGGGCCAGTTCCCAGCAAGGGGTGCACCAGAGGCAACCATATATTGATATTTCTCTCCCTCTCTCCTTCCCTTCTGCTCTAAAGGTAAATAAATAAAATTCTAAAAAAAAAAACTATTCTGTATTAACCCTTTTTTTCTGTCTTCATTTCCTAGAAGGCTTCTGTGTCACATAAAATTTACATTAAATGAAATTTGTATGCTTTTCTTTTGTTAACCTGTCTTGGTCGGTTTAATTCTCAGACCCATCCAGGTGTCACCTGACAGGGGACCTGGCCCTGATCAGGTCTCCCTCTGGCCAGCCAGGAGTATATGGGTTCTTGACTTTGTGCAAGAAAGACTTCTCAACACAAGTCCAGGTGACTATGAGGGTACATTTATTAAAGTTGGGAACAGTGAAACAAGGAAGGGTTTAACATAGAAGAAGCAACAGGGGCGTTGAAGCTGGGCTGCTTTAGCTCACTGGGAAGTCAGAGAAAAGGGTGCCTTAGACACAGGTTCAGGGGGGTTAGGGTAGGATGAGCTACTGCTGCCTTTTGTTCACTGGTTGCAAGTCTTGCTGGGTCCCTTAGAGTTTAGGAGATACACTTGTGCAGCAAGAAGAAGGGGAAAGGAATGGTGCAGGCATGGTCCCCAGAAAAAGAGCATGTGCTGGGTCATTGTCTTGAGGGTTTTTATCTCTCTCTTGCAGGTGGGAAATCTTAGAGGAGGGTTGCAGCAGAATATTTATCAGTTTCTCAGGGTCATTCTTTCAGGGTCGTGATCTTCACTGATTGGTCACACCAGGGCAGGGGCTCATTAGTCACGGCAGCTGGTCCTGGCCTGACCCACCTGGTTTTACTGCTTTGCTAGGTCTGGAGCTGAACTACAACTGAGGTTATCTCTAGGGAAGGCATCTTCTGTAGCTGGTTGTAAATCGCCGGGTCGGATTGTTCAGCTGTCTGTATCAGTTTCTCCGTGCCACTTGTCCTGTGCCACTGGCCTGATTCACAGGGGTCACAGGAGGATCCAGGACAACCTTTTCCTCCCCTACAATGGGTAATAAAAGGAAAGTTTTTGTAAAAAACTTTTCAGCTTATTCTATGGCTTGAAACTAATATCTGTTAGTAGAAAATTCAGATTAAAACCAAGCCTAGGGAGATAGAAGTTGTAGTCGATTACCCAACAGCCATTTTTTCTTTTCTTTTAATATTTGACACAATAGTAAAAAATTGTTTATTTGAAAGTCAAATTTAACTAGGAGTCCTGTATTTTATTTGGCAATTCTAACCTTAATATGTCCAACAGTCATATTTTTCGGTAACCTAGTCTTATATAAACATATTCATATTACTAAAATGTTATTTTTTTTGGTAAAGCACTTGTGAGCATTAAATGAACTCCCCTCGGTGTGGCTTCAAGCTACCGGCCCACAGGCCCCACCGACACTCTTTAATCTTCTCAGCTCTTGTGCTGAGGAACGTGGCCTTCACCAGGACAGGCTGCTTTGGGAGCGTTTCGTTCCCCAGGACTCTGCAGTAGCCCGATCACACCGCATCTGCGATGGGAGTGGCTCCGGTCTTGTTTTTGGCAGCGTTTACCTGTGTCTGCTCCCTGACCGAGGCCCACAGTTTGTCCAGGTTGACAGTGGGGCAGAAGCTCTGGCTCCTCTGTAAGTGGTCATGCCTCACACCGACTCTCCCAAAGTGACCTGGGTGGTATTTGCCGAGGTTGATCCTGTGCTGATGCAAGCCACCAGCGTTACCTTGACCTCCCAGGCGCTTCCTGTGCTTGTCCATGCAGCCGTGGCCTTGGCTCACATGGCCCCGAAGTTTCCTGATTTTCCTCAGTCTGGATGGTGTGTGGGTGGCTGAGATGCAAGAGCAAAAAAATAATGTTTTACAGTGATAATTTACCCTCTGTCGTCAGGTATGAGTTTTATAGGTAATTAATTGTACCCACCAATATAAAACTCCCTATCATTTTGAATAATTCACAATAACAAGCCATACCAGAAGTATCAGGTTATTATTATTTTTTAAGAGAAGTAGTAACCCTTTATTCTCATGTTTCACAAATAAAAACTGTCTGAGCTGGTTGCTCTTTGGTGCTGAATCAAAGAGACCAAATCCCATACCCTCATCTGACTCCTCTGACTCTTCCTTCGCCTCTACCCTGGTGGCAGCAGCAGGAGCAGCAGTGGTGACAGTGGCCACAGGGGCAGCAGCCACAAAAGCGGATAGATCAGCCATGAAGGCCTTGACCTTCTCAGCAAGTGGGAAGGTGTAATCAGTCTCCACCGACAACGCCAGAACCTGCCTGTACCCATTGATGATAGAATGGGGTACTGAGGTAACAAGAGTTGGGTAACCAATCTGCAGACATACGCTGGAAACATTGTGGACACCCTCCAGGAAGTGGGAATGCAGTTTCCTCGGTGATGCTAAGCATTTCCGGGTGGTAGGTGCTGCCATTGTCAAACACCTGCTGGATGGTCAGCCCCAAGGAGAACGGGGAGATGTTCAGCATGTCAGCAGTGTGTCTGTGCTTGCTCCCACCTTGTCTCCAGTCTTAATCGGCTGTACATCCCTCAGGATTTCAATGGTGCCCCTGGAGATTTTAGTGGTGATGCTGAAAGCCTAGAAGAAGGGGGTCCTCTCCGGCCCCGGGCCAGTGCTCTGGGCTGGCACAATGACTTCGCATGGGGCGATGGCACCAGCACGTGTGGCAGCTGGCACCTTATTGGCTGGCAGCCTGTTGCTGATCTCAGGGGGGTCCTCCCTGGTGAACACAAAGCCCACATTCCACCTGGAAATGAGGCAACAGTTTCTCCAGAGCTGGGCTGTTTTCCAGATGCCCTTGGATGTCCTTGCATGTCATGGTGTTCTCGCCTATCAGCACCACAGTCTTCCCTCGGAGGGACACGTAGACCTGTTGCATCTGCTTGGAGCCCACACTGTCTGCTCCGGCAATGAACATTTTGCATAATCATCCGGAAGCTGGATGATCTTCAGGAAGTAGTCGGATTTCCAGGGCACCCTGTCTTTCCTGGGCCTCACGGCAGTGCGTCAGAGATTGCCACGCAGGGTTTAAAGATGATGTCACTCTCACAAGGGCTCCCAGAGAGAGACAGGTTATTTTTTAACAAACATAAACTGTATACTGTGGAAAAAGGATGAACTATTCTGACAACATTCAGGAAAATTTGTGCAAGCCTTCGAAATGGCAAAAAAAAAAATTACTGGGTGTTCTGTTTTTTGATCCTTCTGAATTACCTCCTTTTAGTCTCTTTGAGCCATTTACAATTCATAAATGGTAAAAAACAAATAAACAAACAAAAAAAACCCAGAGCAGCCCTGGCTGGTGTAGCTCAGTGGATTGAGCACGGGCTGTAAACCAAAGGGTCACCAATCCAATTCCCAGTCAGGGCACATGTCTGGGTTGCAGGCCAGGTCCCCAGTAGGGGACACATGAGAGGCAATCACACATTGATGTTTCCCACTCTTTCGCCCTCCCTTCCCCTCTCTCTAAAAATAAATAAATAAAATCTTTAAAAAATAAAATAAAATAAAATAAAATAAAATAAAATAAAATAAAATAAAAAACACTTCTGCTCCTAAAAAGAGACAGCTTTAAAAAAAATGAGAGCAACACAAAGGACCCCTGTCCATAAATGTGAAAAGGAATTTTGTCCAGTGGAGGGACAGTTGATTTCTCTTCCCAATCTTGTGTAAAAAGACAGTTTTGTATCTGTCTGTCAGCTCCTTTTAGCATTCCTTATCTATCCATCCATCCATCACTTTGAATTCTCCTTTGAACCAGAGATAATATCTTACTGATTCCTTCCTCCATTAATGAGTCAGAGTCAGATCAAAGCTTTGGCATATATTCATTCTATATTTGCATGAGAATCATGACTTTTTTACCTTTAGAAAATATATGTCCTTTAGCAATCCATTTGAAAGCTAAATCCATTCACTGATATTTGATCAGTTGGTGCTAAAAGATTTTCTCAATCACCTCAGAAGTCTTTTTAAGAAAGCAATTCTTAACCAACTTATTTCATGACACATATTTTTGGTAATATTTCTGGCTGGAGGGAAGTCATTGTAATGGCCAACAAGATAGAATTTGGGGCATTGTTTGTCATAGGGAAGCTGAGAGTGGCTGGAAGGAAGAGAGAGAAGAGCAAGAGAAAGAGAATGATAATGACTATTTTCTCCAGTAAAATAAAACATAACCCTGACCCACATCCTTGGAGACAGCTGGACGGTGCCTCTAGCACCATGGACCAAGCAGCGGCTTTACTCTTAGGCAGTTCTTCCCCAGCATGAGAACCAACCCTGCAGGAGGCGGAAGGAAGGAGAGAAATGGGGGAGCAAAGCCTGCAGCACCACCCCCAGATGCCAGCACAGCATTGCTGTCGATTTGCTCCTTCCAGACATTTCCTCCTTAAAAGCATTCCCTTCCGCGGAGTTCTGTCTCTTCGATGCTGTAGGGGGAAAATGCTTTCCTTAGACTCTCTTAGGGCTTCTGGCTGTGTCTGAAAATTAAACTGACAAAGATTAATAGGAGAAAAACATACACATGTATGCTTGAATTTTTACATGTGCGTGGGAGCCTTCACAAGAGAATACAGACCTGAAGAAGTGCGCTGAACTGGAAGCTTTTATACCCTTTTAGACAAAGGAACAATAAATTTGTGAAGAACTGACAGGACAAATGGGTTTAGGCTAGAGATAGTAAAAGCTAAAGAAGTAACCAGGAAGATAAGGGACAGTTTAACAAGATTTGTACAGATTTCTTGGCTCAGATTCCCCATCTCTGGAGATGAGAATGTCTGGCTTCCTCTCAGTACAAGGAGAGGGTACCTTTCACATGGGATTTTTATTTTTTTTATTTGTTATTTTTTGATTGCTTAACTGATATTAATAACATGACATATAACCCCTATACTTGATACAATGGTTATGTAAAATACATAGGTGAATACCAACTTATTTTAAAAACATAAATAAATAAGCAAGATGTGAACATGGAAAGTTCCCATTAAAGAAATGAAAAAAAATTTTAAAGAAATTTTGCTTTCCTTATCATTTGAAGAAATATAATTATCATTTAAATAATACTTAAGTTTATTAAACCAAAATTTTAAAGTATTATAAAGCATTTAGTTTTCATCAGTGTCAAGGTTTATGTTGCTCCCAAATTTTGCATATGACTGAACTTGCAAACCTGCTAACACCCACTGACTGGATTCCGCATGGGATTCTAAGGAGTCAATTTCTTGCAAATTTTTCTTTGCTTCTTCTAACATTACTTGTGTTTCTTGAGAATGGCTAATGAACACACCACCAATTCGATAAGGTGTCATCAAGCAGTCATCATCTGCATGCACAATGTCCTTGCAAGCATCTTCTAAATTTTGCAGTTGTTTCTTTTTTCGGACTATTTCTTTCTTCAGCTCTGTAATTCTACTTGTATTCTGTGCAAATTTGTTTATCTTTTGTTGCTCATCAAGTGTAACATTGACATAAGCAGCTGCCTTCTTCATGGTGGCCATCGAGGACTCACAGGGGAGTTTTATAACCCGTTCCAGAGAACAATGGCTTCCTCCATCTTTTGAAATTCCTTCAGCTTAAGATATTTAATAATGACAAGGTGTCATATTTTGGGGTAGTGTGTTCTGAACCTAATCAATGCTTTCACTATGTGCAGGGACTGTATGGAGAGGTAATGTGAGGAGTTAAATATTTCAAGAGGAGCAAAGCTGGGAAGCAGAGATTCGGATCCTGCAGGAGTGAGGAGCTGGGAGAGGAGGGACGACCAGAGGGGCATCTAGCAGGGTAGATGTGTGGCTCTCTCTGAATGCCGAGCAAAACTGGAGCATGCACCCCAGAGATGGCCCTTCAAGGCAACACAGCACACTTTCTCTGCCCTCTTCATGCCCCAAGCACCCAGCTGTCCTAACAGGAGACTTCTAAGAGCAGCCCCAGGGGTAGATGGCAAGGGCCTGAGCACCAATTTGAGGAGGGAGTTGGGGGATGAGTGCGGGGTGGTGTGGGTGCGGGTCTGTGCTCTGTCATCAGTGCCAGCAAGCTTTTAGCACCAACCTTGTGAATTTGGTCAGGGCAGGGGCATTTCTGAGCTCCTGAGTTTCCCTCATTCATTCAGGCCTTCATTCATTCAGTTATTGAATTCAATCAGTTGTTATGTAGAATTTGTACAATATATTCAATAAAATCTAGTAATCTCTACTAAGCCAGGGAAGAAGAAACCAATGGCACATTCAAATCGGGGTTATTTACAGGAGTTGCCAGAGAGTAGGGAAACCACAAAGATTAGTGCAGCCTGCTGGGGCTACGGACCCCCAGGCACCACTGCCACCTCTGGGTGTGGAAGGGCAAGGAGAGGGATAAACAGACCTGTCGCTGAGGGATCTCTCCCTGGGTGGGAGTGGGTGGCGATCTGGTCACAAATACTGATTTTCCTCCGTCTTCCAGATCTGCTGTCAGTACCTCCTCATCACAAATATTTTCTGAATCATCCTGGAAGTCAGGGTGCAGGGAGGGCTAGAGGCAGACCACACCAGTCAGCCTTCTGGGAAACAGAGCAAGATGAAAAGTGAAGACTGTATCTAGAGAGGCAAATGAAAAATATTCTACATACATTCTGAGGTTCTGGGGCTCGTCAGCCTTGCATCTTTCCTTGTCTCTTTTCCTACTTCCTAAGAAAGCACTGGCAAGAATGGGCAGAAAAACCCTGTTTAGGAAATTATTTTCACAGCAGAAAGCCATGTAAAATGGAATCAGCCTGGCTATCCATGAATTTTTGGATTATTCCTCCTTGGACAGGTCTTTGGGTTCCTTCACTACTCCCACCCGAGAAGGGTGCTGTCACTTGTAACAATATTTTAATGGCACACTGTGTCTGTATTCCACATACTTTGAGGACACACTCTGTGTCTTACTTATCTTATGTGCCCAAAGTCTAGCCAGTGCTGGCACAGAATACAAGTTGAATGAAAGGATGCATGAATGCATCAGTGCTTAATCAGAGGGTGCCAAGGGGTTTAGGGAGGTAACAGTATCGTGAATTTCTTTCACTCTCCCACAAGATGGCAGCAATTACCACGGTCCAGCCTTCCCCACGTGTGGAACTCTGCACATCTTCATCTTAGATAAAAGAAGCGAATTATCTCTGCCCCTGTGGTGCCCAGCTATGCTATCTGCTCACCCAGAGTCACTCGGCTGGGCTCTCCCCATTCACCTGGCTCTGTTTTCTTGCTCTCCAAGTTTAGACGCTCCACAGGTTCCAGTTTCTCTGGTGGCTTGTTCCTACTCCTCTCCTCTCTGGCCACTTCAGTGTGCGTAGAAACATTACAGCCTGCACCTCGTACTGGGCTGGGAAGGCTTGAACTGATCACTGTTTCACATTATATTCACTTCTGAAAAAGAGCACGATTTTCAGAAAATTGCTACCGAGTGTTCTTTTCAGGCTCAGTGATGAGAGTGTTCCAATGAGGTTGAGCGTAAATCACTCAGTTTTCTTGAAAGAGTGTACAGTTCCGGGGTGTCTTAGAAATCTAGAGCATTGTTTCTACATTAAAAAAAATTGTATGTGCAGAAATATTGCTTGGATTTTACTACCTTTGCACTGCAGCAAAGATGGCCAAGATTTGTTTTCAAATTGACCAATTCTGGAATTAACATAAATTGTGCCCTGTAACTTTAGACAAAGCTATGTCTAAGAGATATGTTCACGTTAGAACACAAGAATATGCAGGATGAGAGGGTAGGAGAGAACAAAGAAAAGAAGGATCACGTAGCACAATTGTTTTGGTGCATACGGGCCCCCTGGCAGGGGAGAGAGTGGGTCCCTGAGAAGGTGCTTCCCCGGAGTCTCGGTTGCTAAGGGAAAGCTCACACTCCTTCAACACTGTTGTCTCCCAGGAGCCACGTGAATCTTTTTAATATGACATCATTTCAGCTTTACAATGGCGCCATGTCAAAGCACGTTTTTCCAAAGTTAAGAACATGACTTACATACAAATATAGAACAAAGGTGTCAAAATGTATTAAATTCATAATTGAATTAAGGAGCTAGTAACAGGGCAAAGTTGGTTTCCAAAAGGAAAGAGGAAGAGGGATTTATGTAGCACAGCAAGAAAAATATTTTTTAAAGATGGTTAAAGTCCTACAGACAATAATATAACCTTTGGTGTTATTTTTTTCTATTGGACAGAAATCTGCAAATTAATACGTAACTTCATAGCAAACAGGAAAGTCAAACAAAGGTACATTTTTCAAGGGAATCAAATAATCCTTGGGCAGGCCTGATAGTGACCCAGGATGACATTGAACGTGATCCTCTTTATTTCCTATCACTTCCTGTTCAACCTCCAGCCTTTTTCTCTCTAGAGTGAAAGCATCATAGAGTCAGCAGCTGGCGGTGTCTTTTCCACAATAGTGAAAAATATGGAAGCACATAATGAGCAGTGACAGGCACTAAGCATGCCCTGTGCAAATGTTTGCTTAGCTTGAATCAAACTGATCTTCAGAAAGCTTAGTAATTCGCATAAGTGGTAAGTGGCGGATTCCCTGAGATTTCTTATAACTTCTCAGTAAGGAGGAGTATTAGTTTCTTGGGGCTGCTGTGACAAGTTATCATGGACTTGGTGCCTTAAAGCAACAGAAATTTATCTTCTCACAGTTCCGGAGGCTCGAAGTCTGAGAGCGGTTGGCAGGGCCATGATCCCTCTGAAGGCTTTAGAGAAGAATCCCTCCTTGCCTCTTCCTAGTTTCTGGTGTATCCTTGGCTTTTAGCTGCATCATTCCAATTTCTGCCTGTCTTCACGTGGTTGTCTTCCTTTGATGTGTCTCTGTATTTCTGTCTCTATATTTAAGGACATCTGTGATTAGATTTAAGGCCCATGCTAATAAAGTATGACCTCTTCTTAATTTATATGTTAATTAAATTAGCAAAGACTATTTCCAAATAAGATCTCATACACTGTACTATCGGTTAAGGCTTGGACATATTTTACGGCAAACACAATTCAACCCATTATTGTCTATACTATACAACCCATTACTCTACCTATACTATACTATACTATACTATACTATACTATACTATACTATACACTGTAACTATACTATTTTATAGCTATAACAGGAGGCTTCAGAGTCAGAAGATCTTGACTTTGAATTCCTTAGCCCACTTAGTCAGGTAAGAACCTCTCAGCCTTGTGTAGGGGCTTTCTGCTTCCCCAGGTGCCGGGGGAAAATCCTGTTCTGAGCTTGGTGGAATTTCAGGAGCCCTAGGCACTTATGACTGGTTTGCTTCCAGTCACCTTGTTTTGATCTGCTATCTCTAGCTCTAATAATAAATCCCTTTCATGTTCTCTGAAATGAAGCACTTGCCTTTTACCCAGGTTCTAGTAAGTAAGTTCTTATCTTGACCCTGTGTTGTCTGAGGTTTTGGTAGCTGTTCAGGAGACCAGTTCTTCTGGGACCTAGTCCATGCCTTACTCTTGCTAAAGTGTCCAGGTTCCAACAAGCACCAACTGAGCTGTGAGTTACTAGAGAACAGGGAGGGAGCAGACATTACTCTGGCTGGCAAAACAGAAAGTGGCCAGAGGGGGCCTGTTCCTTTTTGTGGCTGGCCTGACACTCAGGAGGTGGGGTCAATGGATTTCCAAGCTGGAGGACGTCAGTGGTGCCCCATGCCGGAGAGGGCTTTTCGGGTGTGGGAGCAGCAGCAGTTCTCAGCATTGGGCTGAAGAGAGCAGCACTTTGCAAGTTTTTAGCTGTAAAAACCTGCCAAATTAGTTTCGAGAAACTATGAAACCCCTCACACATTTTTAAGTTAGTGTCTAAAATTTTTTACCATAAGTTTAGATAATTGCAAAAGATTTAATTTTGTCATTTTGTAATATATTAACATTTAAAAATAAAAATGTTCCATCATGCTTTTAAAATTGTCCAGTGGAAGCTGGATTCTATAATAATTTAATACCATTAACATGTCTTTACATATTCATGAACAAGTTCTTCTAAAATGGTTGGAATTTTTGCAAATTTCTTTTTTCCTCTTTGAATTCACATTTCCATTTTAATTCTTTCTCAGAATTTAACTCTGATTTGATATATTTTTAAGCCTAAAAGTCTCTTATTGTTTACTCTGTTCTACTTCTTTGCAAAAAAAATCAAAATTTGAAATTGTCTTCTTAACAAACACCATAAAAGTTCTAAGAGTTTAAATTTTTTCCATTTTGGTTGAGTGATTTTTATATAATCAAAAAAAGTGAAGATAATACATTTTGATACATAATTAGTAAATATAAAATATAAAATTTATTAGAAATCCAGTTCCTAATGAAATAACTGTTTTTCCCTACTTAGTTCTTGTATCTATGAATGATTATTGCTTTTTGCTAGAATGAGATAGTTTTATATTAATTTTATTACTTTTCATTTTTACATATAAATGTGCTAAGAAATATTAACATAAATATTATAATATATCAAATATATTTAAAAGGCTTTATCAAAACTTAATAAGTGATTACTAATTACAGTAGTCATTTATTACTCTTTGAGATGCTTTGATTAACTCCACATATCCAGAGGACTGAGAAAATGGAAATATCCCTTATTTTCCATATTTTTGCCAATACATGTATTCATAAAATGCTTTTATCTTAATCCCATGATTTAAACGTATTTTCACTGAAATCTTGGAGCTGAAACTTCTCTTTATTTGGACAGTGAAGGGCTGTAATTGGCAAACCGGTTATCTCATCAGCCCCAGTCACATGACTAACTGTCCATCAGGAAAAGTTTGACCTCTTTAAATATTTGTGTTTTGCATTTCAAAAAATAGTGTAATAATCAGTGGAAGAAGATTATAGAACACATTTTATAAGACAGATTACTAAAATCCAAGATTTAAAAATGATGTAGATCTAATATAGTTAATTTATGAATGTTTTATCAAGTTTTATAAAGGTAATTAAAATGCTATTTCTCATCACTTAATTTATAAAATTATAGTATAATTTATAGCTTACAATATTACTTATTTATGAGCTACAGAATAGAGAGTATGATAAAAAGTATGCTTAGATGCTGGTGTCTAGTTTTGGGGATTTACTAAATAAGAACAATATATAAAATTAGAATTAACTCCAATAATTTTATTAGACATCATGATCAAGTTTTCCTATGTATTTAACCAGTGAGAATGGCCATCATAAACCAAGCAACAAACAACAAGTGCTGGAAATGATGTGGAGAAAAGGGGAGCCTAGGACACTGTTGGTGGGAATGCAGACTGGTGCAACCACTATAAAAAATAGTTTGGAATTTCTTCAGAAAACGAAAAATGAAACTGCCTTTTGACCTAGCAATTTCACTGTGATGGTTATATCCTAAGAAGCCTGAAACACCAATCCAAAAGACCTTATGCACCTCAATGTTTACAGCAGCACAATTTATGATAGCCAAATGCTGGAAGAAAACTAAGTGCCCATTGGTAAATGAGCAGATCAAAAAACTATGGTACATTTACACAATGGAATGCTACACAGCAGAAAGAAAGTAGGAGCTCCTACCCTTTGTGATAGTGAAATAAGCGAAATAAGCCAGGTGGTAAGGAACAAATATCATATGATCTCATCTTTAGGTCGAACCTAATCAACAAAACAAACAAACAGGCAAGCAAAATATATAATCAGAGACATTGAAATTAGGAACAAATGGACAGTAACCAAAGGGGAGGTGGGAGGGGGTAATATGGGGAAAAGGGTGAAGTGTTTTCAGGAACAACTATAAAGGGACACAGGAACAAAACCAAGGCGGGGGGGTGGTAGAAATAAGAGACAGAGGTGGGGAGGGCTGGAGTGGTGGGGAGAGGTGGGGAAAAAGGCAGAAAACTATACTTGAACAACAATAAAATAAAAAATGTTATTTTATTTTAATATATTTCTTAATAAATATATACTTTAATAAGATAAAATACTTTTAGTTTTGAAAAAATTCTATGTATTTAAATGAAAAGAAATGTAAATAGTACTATTAAAAATAATTAGTTAAGCAGCTAGCATTTATTTAAAAAAACAAAGAAATAGAAAATACTAAATATTTTAAGATAAAATACAATCAGTATGAATTATTGAGGTAAATATTTCCTTGTGTATTTGATAAAATAGATTATAACCTCATATTGAAAATATACATCAATTCTAAAAATAGTTTGTAAAGTTTTATGTATAATTTTTTATTCACTGAGTTTTTAAACTCTTGGTAGTTGAAGAAAACATTTTAGTGACATTAAGAGTGTGTTATTCACTATGGTGGACCACACTCCTGCCCCTGCAGTTCACACCTCTGTGTAAGCACTTTCTTTTGGTTCTAGCCAACAGAATATGACAAAGGTGATGGGAAGTGATTCTGTGACTCATGTAATATTATATAAGACTGTTCTGCTAATAAAGTCACTCGAGAGCCTTACCTTCCTTGTTTGATGAAGTAGTTGGCCGTATTGAGGAAGCTCCTGTGACAGGAACTACAGGTGGCCTGTAAGAGCTGATGGTGTTCTGAAGGAGCTCAGGGCTGCTGCCAGCAGACAGCAAGGAAATGAAGTTCCCAATGACCTGAGTTAAATTGGAAATGGATCCTTCTCCAGTCAAATCTCCAGATGAGAATGTAGCCCACCTAACACTTTGATTGCAGCCTTGTGAAACCCCAAGCCAAAGACTGAGAAACCATGGCCAGAATCCTGACCCACAGAAACATGAAATAATAAATGTGTGTTGTGTTAAGCTGCTAAATTTATAGTAATTTGTTGTGCAACAGTAGATAACAGATACACTAATCTATTTAGTTTTGGATTTCTGGGTGCTTTTCTTCATAAATAATAACAAGTCCTACAAAAGAATATTAGAATAGCTGAAAAGCATTGTTTATACTTTTATATGGGGGAAGCTTTCTTTTTAAGCATTCATTATACCTCATTGATTCTTTTAAAATATATTTTATTGATTATGCCATTACAGTTGACCCATTTCCCCCTTCATTCCTCCCCACCCTGCACACCCCCTCTCACCACATTCCTCCCCCTTAGTTTATATCCATGTGTCATAAGTTCTTTAGCGTCTACATTTCCCACAGTACTCTTGCCCTCCCCCTGTCTATTTTCTCCCCACTGTCTATGCTACTTATTCTCTGTACCTTCTCCCCCCTTCTTCTGCTCCCACTCCCCTGTTGCTAACCCTCCATGTGATCTCCATTTCTGTGGCTCTACTCCTGATCCAGCTGTCCATCTAGTTTGCTTTTGTTTTAGGTGTGGTTGTTAATAACTGTGAGTTTGCTGTCCTTTCACTGTTCATCTTTTTTATCTTCTTTTTCTTAGATAAGTCCCTTTAACATTTCATATAATAGGTAAGGAGAGGGAAGTTAAAAAACATTTCATATAATAAAGCCTTGGTGATGATGAACTCCTTGAACTTGACCTTATCTGAGAAGCACTTTATCTGCCCTTCCATTCTAAATGAAAGCTTTGCTGGATAGAGCAATCTTGAATGGAGGTTCTTGCCTTTCATGATTTGGAATACTTCTTTCCAGCCCCTTCTTGACTGTAAGGTCTCTTTTGAGAAATCCGCTGACAGTCTGAAGGGAACTCCTTTGTAGGTGACCGTCCCCTTATCTCTTGCTGCTTCTAGGATTCTCTCCTTCATTTTAATCTTGGCTAACATAATTATGATGTGCCTTGGTGTGTTTCTTCTTGGGTCCCACTTCTTTGGGACTCTCTGAGCTTCTTGGATTTCCTGGAAGTCTATCGCCTTTGCCAGATTGGGGAAATTCTCCTTTATTATTTGTTCAAATAAGTTTTCCACTGGTAGCTGTTCCTCTCCCCCTTCTGGTACCCCTATAATTTGGATGTTGGAGCGTTTAAAGATGTCCTGGAGGTTCCTAAGTCTCTTCTCATTTTTTTGAATTCTTGTTTCTTCATATTTTCCTGTTTGGTCATTTTTTTTCTTCCTCCTGGTTCACTCCCTTGATTTCAGTCCCAGTTTCCTTTTCATCACTATTAGTTTCTTGTGTAATTCCCTTCATTTCAATTAGTTTAGCCTTCATATGTTCCTCTAATCTGTGACTAAAATCAACCAATTCTGTGAGTATCCTGATCACCAGTGTTTTGAACTGTGCATCTAAAAGTTTTGCTATTTCTTCGTCGCTTAGAGTTATGGGCTCTGGGGCTTTGAGGTCTTCTTGAGCCATTTTTGGTCTGTTCGTGCCCGTTAAGTATGAGGAGTGGAGCCTTAGATGTTCACCAGCGCAGGGCCGCTTAGGTCGCTGGATTGTGATGCAGTCAGGCTGAAGAATTTGTTGTTATCAGACTTCCGAAAAGTTCAATTTTCTGTGTTCTGGCTGTGTTTTCTATTGCTAATATTTTGTTGTCTCTAAACTTGGTTGTGTGAGAAAGCACGGCATCTCCACCTATGCCTCCATCTTGGCAGAAGTCCTCCTTCAAGGGATTCTTAACTACTTTTTGTGTCGTGGACCTTTAGATAGTCTGATGATACCTATGGACACTTTCCCAGAATAACATTTTTAAAAAGATTTTATTTTTATTTTTGGAGAGAGGGAGAGGGAAGGAGGAGAGGGAGAGAAACATCAATGTGTGGTTGCCTCTTGAGCTCCCCCCGCTGGGGACCTGGCCTGCAACCCAGGCATGTGTGCTGACTGGGAATAGAACCGGCGACCCTTAGGTTTGCAGGCCCGTGCTCAATCCACTGAGCTACACCAGCCAGGGCCCCAGAGTAACATTTTTTAAGCACACAAAATTAAATACATGTAATTTAAAGAAAAACCAATTGTAATGAAATACTGGGGAGCTGTGGGCCCCAGATCAGAAACTTCTTTATGGAGCAGTAGCCCCTGCTGGAGTCTTTCCTCCCTGCCCGAACGGTCTCGTGTGGCCACATGTTTGTGAGGTGAATGTGAACGCTGCTGGGGAAGGGGACAGGGGCCCTGGTGGCTTTGTCGGGACTGGGGATCAGCAGGGGCAGCAGACCACGCTTCCACAGCAACCCCGAGTGGCAGCGGCATGAGAAAATCAGCCACAGAAGAGCTCAGCTCTTCACTCGTGACACTGTCCTTTTGGAAGCAGCAGGCCTGATATTTCTGCCGGACCAACCCCAGGGTTCTTGGCCAAATGGGGGGGAAGAGGGGAGGAAGGAGATACCATATGGGGTCCGAGTAAGTAAAGAGAAAATAAGACAGATGTGCCTGTTGTTGTAACCCAACCTGGCAAGGTGGGTTAAATCTATGTCATTCATTCTGTATTGCTTAATTTAAAAAAAAATGAGCATGTATAACTTTTGTGACAGAAAAAAGCAGAACATGTAAGGCTTTCCTTCCATTTCATTAATGATATTGTGTCATAACACTGCCTGGATTCAAACATCTTAAGCTATTGGCAGAGGTTGTGGAGTCTGAGAAAGGATTAGCAGACTCTGGATTAACTGGAGCAAGGACATCTCTGCCAAAAGGAAGGATCACTGGAACTCCACAAATTCTTACCCTTTAGACGCATGCCCTCGACTCTGATAGTAGTGAGTTGGTGGTAGATGCTCAAGTACGCAGTGCTCAGAAGACTTAATTGTTATTGACCCTGCACTGAGGGATCTACAGAAGCAACATGTGCCTGGAGACAGATGTCTTCTTCACACTGTGTAATCTCAAGAGTTGGGGGAGTTTGTGGAGACCCCCTGGGCATTGTAGGCACTGGAGGGGTGAGTATGGAGCAGGAATGGGGCAGAACAGCTTTATTTAGTTCACAGGTTGGTCTTATCCTTTGAACAAAGTGAATGAGGATAAAATAGGTATGAAAACAACAGCACTGAGACCTATTATTTATTAAAGAACTAAATTCAAATTGGGAGAAGTTAAGGATAATGGAACAGATGATGCTGACTCACTAACAGGCTTACACAGGTCAAATCTGGGGCTACTCAAAGTCCAATCAAGGAAAGGGCCAGCAAGGAGCTCCCCAGGTACCAGGGAACTCTCAAAATCACTGGATTATATATACATCGGTGAAAATGTAACCAGATGAAGGAAGCCTATTTACTAAAACTTCTCTGGGGAGTCTATAGGTCATTGGAAAACAGTCATTCATTTAATCATTAAATACTTATCACATGCTTTCTGAGTGCCTAGCATTGTCCTGGATGCTGGGGGTAAGCAGTGAACAAAAAGCCAGAGTCCCTGTTCTTCTGGAGATTGCATTCTAGTGGGAGATATAGATAATACAGAATAAATACAGAATGTCTCAGGGAATGACAAAGGCTGCGAAGAAGAGTAACACGCATTAAGGGGAGAGAGTGATGGGAAGGAACATGTTACACAGGCTGGAGAGGGAAGGCTTTTCTGTTAAGGTGACTTTGAGCAGAGAGCTGAAAAGGGGTGAGCAAGCATTGGGCCATAACATACGAGAAAGAGGAAAGAGGAACACAAAAGCCATGAGGCGGGAGCTTGCAGAGGTGTGTGAGGAACAGAAAAGAGGCCAGTGTGGCTGGAGCGGAAGAAGCTGGGAAGGAGACACAGCAGAATGCTTTTATGTGAAGTGGGATATTCAGTCTGCAAGGAGGTTTGCTCAAGGAGCAGCAAAGCACTGCTAAAATTTCTTCTGAGATGTGTAAGTCTGTGTAGGTTGCGGTCCGAATGGGGCCTTTGTTTTGCTGAATGTGTGGGGCATGTCATTTGGAGCTTGTGCTGCATGCTCAGAGCAAGGAAGAGCTCTCAGGTGCCGCCACCAGACTCCGACCTTTCCGGCCCTTCCTGCGTTGTACACGAGTTTCAAACTAAATAAAAGGTGAGTCAGTACCGCAAGAACAGAGGACTGAGGTAGTCGGAAAGTATTAGCCTGCCTTGGTGCCCATCTACTCCTAAAATTGTTTTGTATGATGATCAGATAAAATGAGAAGGGTCTGAAAACTCAGATAAAGAGAGTTCCTTGCTTGTATCTTCCTCCATCTTCAAAGCCAGCAGTGGCTGGTCAGTACTCTTTTGTCTTTCTGCTCCCCACGTAAGGGCTGCTGTGACTGCAGCCAGATAATCCAGGATAACTTCCGTATTTTAAAGTTGGCCAACTGGCAAGCCTAATTCCATTGATGGCCTTAATTCCCCTCTGTCATATAAAATAACACATTCACTGGCTCCAGGGATTAGCACGTGGTCATCTTTGGGGGGCCGTGATTCTGCCTGTTACCATCACACTCCATAAATGCAAAGCAGTCACCTTCTGATGGCCTTGATTTTCTATTTCAATATTAATGTCATTGTCTTTATGCTCTTTAGTGTAAACTGCCTCATACATGTTTTGGAAACGAGGCAATGGAAAATGGGCCCTAATATATTGAACACATGTAAATTATGAGCAGTGTAGGGGTTCAGAATAGGTCACCTCAAGATGTGCCTCTGTGGCACGCAGATTGTTCTGAACTAAAGGCCATTTTGGCCAGAGACTCGAGAAACTTCTGCCCCTCCCTTAGTTATCTATAAGAAGTTGAATTAGAGTCTCACCCACAATAAGCAATCATCAGAGAAAAGCTCAGTCACCCAATCACCCTTTCCATCTCTGCATTTC